ACCAGAGCTAACCCTTTGGTAGGAAAAATTGCCATCATCTTTGAAAATTAGTCACCTATGTGTAATCTCGGTGGTGCCTAGCCCCTCACTCACCCAAAGAATGGAAAGGAAACTCATTGCAATTCAGTTGAGTCAGAGACAAAGGCATATATACCTGTTGTCTCTCTAGAAAAAAATGAATTGCATGCTTTCTTAATCACAGTTCCTTGGGATATTTTTCTTCCTTCCTTCTGGGGGAAGGGGTTCTTCCCTTTGATTCAGTTGTTTATAGTTCTACCTTGCCCCCCACCTTTTTTTTAATTAATAAGGAAGCCAAGAAGTGGAAAATCTCACATAAAGCAGATTCCATTGTCCCTTCTGTCTTTCCCTATAAGGAAGTCCAACTGGGAGTGATTGATCTGAAAAACAGAAAATTGATAGGGAGGTATATTATTAACTGAGCACCAACTATATGCTAAGCATGCTCATAATTTGGGGTTATCGAGATTTTGCTGCTCATCCTTATATATATATATGCATATATTTTGCTCTTTATGCTTTTTATAATTAAACTAGTATTGTGAATGTTAGAAAGGTCCTTAGGAAGCACACATTTGACAGATAAAGACCTTGAGGTCCAAAAGGAAATAGTGACTCGTCCAAACTGTGTTAACATCTTGGACGACTTTATTTTCCTTGCCTCGGGGAAGACACCCAAGCTTTGGGATGAAATACAGATTGAGAAGATGTGTGATCTCTGCAGCCCATTAGGGCAGGGCTGCAGCCCATTAACCCAAATGAGAAAAGCTCTAGCTTCTCCAGGCAGCCTTTGAGCCTAAGGTAAGAGCCAACCTCCTAAGACAGCTATGCCTGTTTCCTCCCCTGGGTCAGGGGAAATTTTCCTGATTTATTCATGGAGGGTCTTGCACTATGGGTGAGTTCAGGGCTGGGTTCAGTCCTGAAAATAGTCAGTTAGCTTCTCCAGATCCCAAGGGGTTGGGTGCAAGAGCCCATACCTGGCTCTGCAGGCATCTCTCCCGTGCCATCTCCTTCAAGAAACACCATGCCAGAATGCTATTCCACTAGCGGTGGGAGGAGAGCATCATCTTTGACAAGGGCCAGAGCCTTTTAGTTATGGGAGATAGTCTTTTAGTTACCTGGAAAGTAAATTTGATGCCTCATTTTTTAAAGGGCAAAATAAATCAAAGGATGCATTTAACATGAACTTTTATTGCAAATCCGGTTAGAAATAGGAGAGAAGAGGTCAATCTGGAATTTAAAAAATTAAAAACACCTCCTAGTGAAAACAAAAGTGTCAGATTTTCCAAGATGCAAAATTTATTGTATTTATACTGTAGTGAAAAACACTGCTTGTGTTTGGTGAGGGGGGACAAAAAGAAAAAAAAAATACTTCTTGCCTATACTTTTTTTTTCCTCTCTGTTGAATTAAACAATATCCATAATCAAGAAACTGAAGATAAAAACACAACAAAAACACAACAATCTTTTTATTTATGTAAATCAGATCAACACTGGACAATAAACCAATTTCTACCCATTACCATAACAGCTTGTCTATAAAGAACAGAAAAAGTCAGATAGGATTCTACCTAGGGTCAAGCGGTTTTTTTTTTTTTTACCACCCATTCACAGAGGTATAGATTCACAGATAAATAATCCCAAACTACTTGCTCGCCATATTTACACATTCCCATTAAATTAAGCATAAATAAATATATACAAACGTAACATGGATACCCTCCAGAGCTCTTTCTGTGAAGAGACAATTACTTGATATTTCTCGATTGTGTGGCAAAAAAAAACAATGTTAGTGAATTAGAGACCAACTCAAAAGAGAAGTCGATTTGGGGATTTAAAGAAGAATCATGTTCATTCCACTTTTTAAAAGAAAACAAAACGAAATTTGATAGATATTTTAACCCAGATAATTTAACATCCATCTGCACAGGAGTGGAAAACTGGGCTCTTGAGGCAGCATCCGATGGTTTAAGGTTATTATTTTCTTTCCACATAATGCAGTACACATACAGAATATCAGATGTGATGACAAATTTTCTAAAAACGTTCTAAGTAGGAACGAGTTGCCCTTTTAAGTAAGGCTTAGTACTGGAGGAACAACGTGTAGATAAGTTCGGGGTTTCGGGTTTTCCATTCGACCAAAGTTTTCATAGGATGTGAAATAATTGCTTGAGAGAAAGTGGTTTCCTTGGCCAAAGAAAATAAAACATCCAGGTCTTTGAAAGCCTCTTCGGTTCTGTATGTGGGGGTGGAGAAAGCTAAGGATGTGAAGCCAGAGAAGAAAGAAAATGCAAGATATTGGGGGGGAGGCGGGAGGGTGTTACCTTCCCAGTTCCGTGAAAAAGTTAAAAGTTAAAGATCACTTCCGATGATGGAATCCTAGCCCGGAACAGACTTTTTTTTTTTTCCCCCATTTTTTTTTTCCCCTCCTCTGAAACCCACAATACACGGAGGAGGAGGAGGAGACAGGGTTGGCCATGGAATGGTCTAGAGACCTTTAGAACCTCCAGAGGAACTTGCAAAGTGGAACGCCTGAGCACAGCGCGGCCACATCCAGACTCCTCCTTTCTCTCCTATTTTGGTTTGGGAACGAGCATTTAGGAGGGGGGCACACAGCCTGGATAAAATGTCTAAAGAGTGCAGGGGTGGGGGAAGAGCTACAACTCACCTATTTGGTTTGAAAACAAAGCTCAAAGGGACTTGCTTTAAACGTTTCCCTTGACTTAAAAGGCAAACTCTTGCGTTAATCCCACTGTTTATTGATTTATGGGCCCAAGGAAACCAAATCTTTTAATAACTCAATTATCAGATAAACGTAGCGGGCCTGGCTAACGAAAGCAAGGAGGGCGGGGGTCGTACATGAAAGCAGCGGTGAGGGAGAGGAGGGGTCGGTGGGCGCTCACCATGCGGGGGGCAGAGCTGGGGAGGGGTTCGAGGAGCTCTACTCTGCTGGGGCGCGGGAGGAGCGCACGAATGCGAGCCAAGGGCGGCGGAGAGAGCCTGAGCGGCCAAGTAAGACAAATCCTGCCCCGTCGCCCGCCTTTAAGAGCTTGAGGGTGCAGAGTTTTCCTCCTGGCAAAGATGCGGGGAGTTTCCGATTCCCTGGACATTTCTAGGCCACGCGCCCTCTGGGAACAGGCGCCCAGCGTGCCCGCTGGTTGCAAAGCGCCTACGCAGCGCAGGATTCCCTCCCCGCCTGCAGCCCGCGGGGTGCCGCCCCATTACCTACTGGAGAATGGGGCTTTCTCGGTCGCCTCAGCCCTTAGGGTGAGACCGAGAGCGGCAAGGGCCCCCGCGACCCGCGGCCCCTCCAGCGGCTGATTCTATGTCCTCAACACGACTGGGCGCGAGTGGCCCACACGCTCTCAGGACCTGCACAGTAAGAGCAAGGCGCGTCCATCGCGTCTCTCGCACTTCACACGCGTGGGGCGCGTTGCCCTGCAAGGAAAGGAGACGATGGTTTTCAGTGTGATTTCTCCTGGCCTTGTGCAATCAGAATACATCTAATGCAAGCGGTCAGGCCCTCGGACAAAGGCGCAGGCGTCTGAGCTGGGGAGAAGTGGAGGTCTAGTTCCAGGCCTTTGTATTCCTCTCAGTTGGTCTAGGACTGAGCCCTGCACGCCTCCCCGCCCCCACCCCACCCCACCCCACCCCCCACAGCGACCCCCAGAGGATCTAGCGGTAGGAGAAGGGCTGGGGTGTGACCTTAAGCTTTACATGGGTCCCTCTGGGCAACTAAAACCAGTTCCCTAACTCCCTCCCTCAAATAAATGTTCGCGCAAAGCTCTTAGCAGTTTCCTAAACACCAACCCTCCAACTTCTCCCCCACCGCCATGGCCAAGGCCCTTGGGGGAGGCAAAGCTGAGAGTCCCAGTCCTAATTGTAAATCCTCCAGAACATCTGGATCTTTATCTTCAAGGGACGTTGCAAAAGTCCTAATGTCTACTTTAAGAGGTGCGTGTATCCACACTAAATTTAGAGACCTATCTCACCCACCCCTACCCCAGGGGATTTCCCACTTCTTTGGGGAGGGTGGGGACAAAGGGTTCCAGATCTTATTTCATGATAATGCTCAAATGGAGCCCGCCAAAGAAGCTGAGCTGCCAGAAGTGAGAGATATTAAATGCATGAAACTTTATCCACTGGGAATAGTCCCAGCGTATCCAGACAGTAAAATTCAAAGCCAAAATACATCTCCTTTCACTTTGCATTATTTTACCACTATATGCCAAAACAAGTGCAAGGCTTGGGGTGGGGGGGGAGTGCCTCATTCATAAAGCATCTTGTAAGAAAGCAATTGTTGCTGAAATGCGGGGAGCTGGTAACCACCCTCCTTGCCATGACCACTCACAAAGTTGTTTCAAGTTCAAACAGCAATAGCCAAAGAGCCCAAGGAAGTGCAATCTATTTAAAGGGAAGGCAATGCTGTCAAAATATTGGGCTATAAGATGCCTTACTCTTCTCCCCTAGAATTCTTTTTTTGCAGCTCTTCCTCCCCCAGAATTCCATGGTGAGGTATTTGTTAGGAACTAGATTCAAAGCTGCTTCAGTATCTTATTGGACACTTTCTAAATTATTCCCTTTGAGCTTCTTTAAAGAAGTGCACCTGCAGAATTCTGACACACAGGCTTTGATTAAAAAGGGATCGGATTTTTTCCTCTGTACCTTATAGATTGTGTAGGAAGCCCGAGTCCTCTTTGAAGAAGCTCATAAACCATGCGGGCAAAGCTTTGGAAAACAGAAGAGAATGAAATGGTACATACCCCTCCGAAGGAATTACATACTAATAACGTATTCATAGTGTGATTTTTTTTTTTACTATAGTTCTTAAAATTGGCAGATGACACAAATATAACAAATGCAAGATGCTCTGTATCAGATGCTGGCAAGGCTGGGAGCTTAACATTTCTGAGAGGAACTGATGAGTCTGAATTATAACTTATTGGTCTGGATCTGCCTCAGCCTCAGCCGCCGGAGCCTCAGCTCAGCTTGCCCGCACCAAAAGCAGCAGCCACGACAAGCTTCTCGTTGAGAGCCGCCCGCCCCTCCCGCCTTCACCCTCCCTAATTATGCAAAGGGCCCGGGCGCTGGGCAGCGGTGAGTTAAGAGCGCAGGGAGGGGCGGGGGCAGGAGGACCAAGGAGGCTGAAACACAATGCAAAAGGGCTAACCACACTCATTTTCATCCCGGAAGATTCCCGTGACAGCTTGAGGAAGGGAGGGTAACGTAGAAAAGGGTGGCTGGGAGAAAGGTGAGGTGAGGTGGAAGGTTGGGGACTGCGAGAGTTTCCTAAAAAAATATTAAAAATTAAAAAGTTCGTGCGTTTCAGTCAACCAGCTCTCAAAGCATCGACACCAACAATGTTTCTCCGATTTCTTCCAATAAGTTAGCGGTTTCTCATGTTAAGTCTTATGTTTATTTTCCAAAGGGAAAAAAAAATCATGGTTTTCTTTTATTATCAGTATTACTAAGCTCGTAAGAACCGAAGTGGAAAATCCGGACGGTTGTCTCCAAGTGTATCTTGAAATAGACACTGAGAACCGGTATTGTTGCTCCGTTGTACGCCTCAGTTTTTTTTTTTTAAAGTTATTTAGCTTTTTTTTTTTTAAATTTTGATTGTATGTGTATTCTACCTAATATAATTCTTCCAAAGCCAATCCAATATTTTAAAGCTAAAATTAAATTTTTCTGTTTTCCTTTTGTATTTAAAACATTTTTCCTTTTTTTAAAAAATTTTTCATTTCCTGTGTTTCTCCTCCTTGTCGCCAGTTTTACTACCTGGGCCTTCCCCAGACGTGTGCCTGTTAGTGGTGGTGTTGTTCAAGAACATCTTGTCCATGCCTTTGAGCGCCTCGGTGAGATAGTTCTGCAGGGCCGTGAGCGCGGCGCAAATGGCCGGGGCGCCGAAGCCGTGCGTGATGAGGCTGAAGTGCGTGAGGCAGCTCTGGATGCCGGGCTCCAGGATGGGACTGGGCCGGCTGTTGCCAATGGGCGTCCGGTCCTGCGCCAGCAGATCCGTAAATTCTTTACAAAGTTGCCTGCAAAGGGGTGGGAAGAGGACAGGGAAAAAAAAAAAATCACGCTGGGAGTCGCAGTCTTTGGCATTAGAAAGAAGACGCTCACACAGGCCCAGAGGCTCCCGCTCGCCCAAGAGCCGAAGAGCGAGGCTAATGTGGGCGATTCCGCTCTGTTTGCTTTCCCAGCGCTCTCCCTACTAGAGCAGCTGGGACTGGACGGAAAGAAGGTGGAGAGGTTATGCCTCCCTTCCATCCCAAAGCCTTGTCTTCCGCCCACCCCCTTTTAGTTCTTCCCCTTTTATTCCAGAACCACGGGTACTCTTCTTTGGGAAGTCTGCTAGGCTTTAACGTTTGATTTTGAATAGTTAGTAAAATTTAACGCTTACCTGGCAGTTCTTTTAAAATCCCTTTCCCCTCTTCTCCCTTGCCTCTCCAACCTCTTGGTGATCAGGCTCAAAAAGCCCTGAAAGATTTAGGCCCCTGGGCCATAAGCCTATCCCTGGCACAGAAGCAGATTGCTGGAGCCTTGCATGGCCCAGGGCAAGCAACTGTTTATTCCAGGAGAGAATGCTGATTCCACTCAAAGCAAAAATCTGTTTACCTGCGTATTTGGGAGGGAGGTATTTTTCCCTCACCACCACCCCCACCTTTTTCTTTCAAGTGTAGGCTACTGAAAATCTTTGTACAACAGCATTGCTGTCAATATAAAAGGATCCCCACATTGTTTAAATAAAACCTAAAGGTAGATAGTTAAGACACTGGGGAGGGCAGATTTTTATTTGCTGAAGCCTTTTCTTTCCTCAAGGCACCTACAATTTAGAGGTATCTCCCAGTCTTAGAAATCCTGCATGACTAACTATAGATTGAGCTTATTTGAGAGATTTTTAATATAGGAGGTGGACAGAAGCGTTTTAAGCCTGAAGGTCCAATGGCTTGGCTTGGCTGGCACTCAGAGGTATGGTATCCCAAAAGCCACAGCCTTTTGCAGACTGGCAGACATGTCTTGTCAGCCTGCTTCCACCTAGCCTTTGGAGTGGTAAGAAAAGAAAAACTATGGAATGCCAGCCTCAGGCTCTTCTGGGATGGTCTCAAACTTGGTGTTTCCTGACCTGGCCAAGGGGTAAACGAGGTAGGAACCTGGAGACCAGGTCATGTGAAAGATCCTGGGTCATCCTTTCCTAGGGGATTACTCCCAGGAGAAGCAGTACCTAACTAGTTGGAAAATACCTCCTAGCTACACACACACACACACCCCACCCCACCCCCACACACCACACACACACACACACACACACACACACACACACACACACCCTCTGCAGCCCCTGAAAGGATTTTTTGTTTTAAGGCTAGTGGGTAGAAAACAGAAATAGACAACCCCTCTATATCCTCTCTCTACTGGTTTCTCCATTTGAAATGCGCACACACATCCTCACAACCAGGTGTAAATATGTAACAGTCCTGACCTCATTAGGTCAGTTCTTAAGCCAGAAGTACCCAGAATCACCTGTGGGGTTCAAATGCACACATCCAGGCTCCCACCTCCAGTTATTCCAATTCAGAGGGTTTAGGGCTAGGTCTATAAATACGTTGAAAAAGCTCCGCCAGATGATTCTGACATCCAGATTCAGAAATGCGGGCCTAAGACAAGCCACAAGGCTTCATTCAAGGAGGAAGTTACAAACATTCCTTAGGGGGAAATGACAGAGTCATTTGTGCAATCCTGTTATCTAATTTATACACTGGTTCTATTTTGTCCCCAAAGTACCTTCACTCTTTTATAAAGAAAGCACCGGCAAGGCCCCCACCACCAGACAGCAGCAGGGCAAGGGACAGAAGGAAGATTTACTGACAAAGATCTATTATATTGCTAATTAGTACATTAGAGGGAAATCTTCTAAAAAAGAGGGTGGATGCCAGGTTTTGATCGTTGGAAGAGATGCTTAAAGTCTTTACTTAAGTTTGTACTCATTACCAAAGTGCCAAAAAGGAAATTCTGAACTGGGAAGAACAAATGCTTAGAGTCAAACATTTTAAATCTTCAAAGCCCAAACCAGGGTCTGTAAGCAATTAAAGTTCTGGGACATTAATATTTTTTGACCCTGCGGAAAGGGGCAATCAAATTCCAATCACGTCTCAAAAACATCTGGACAAATTTGAGCAAATGATTTTTCAGCCTTCCATATATTTCTTTAAATTACGCTGTCAACGGAACAAACCGCGTCCTGCAGCACTAAATAAATGAGCTCCGCTGTTTGGGCCGCGCCTGCAAGAGAAACGTGCGGACGCACGCAGCGCCGCCCACTGCAGGCCTGAGCCGGCCATAAAACACCAACAATATGACACCGAAGCCAAAGACAGGAGTAAATCAAATAAATAGAAAACCCACTGTAAAAGTTCAAATGAGCTCTAGACCTAAATTTAGCTAGAGATTTACTATTTTCCCCTCTGGAGTTGTAGTAAATTTTACGAAGATGCCAAACAGCAACGTTGGAAAGGGAGTAATTAGAGCTGTGGGTAGAGATGGGTACACGTGGTGACATATAGACACCTTGAGTGAGCACTCCCTGGCTGTGTGAATATGGTGGGGTGATCTGAAACCGGGGCAGAAATACACACCTAGAGGTGAAGGGAAGAGCTGGAACAGAGACCCAGGAGGGAAATGTCAGCCTGGCACCCTGAGGGGTGTGGACAAGACTGTAAAAAGCCTGGATTCAGATTAATGAAGCCATCCTCCCCAGAAATTGGAAATAAAAGACACTGAAACAAACCCATAGCCTGTAATCAACTGGGGGAAAGGGTGGTGAAGAGGGTGCAGGAGAGGGACGGGGTGGAGTTAGGAGGGTTTCCAAGCCAGCAATCCACAGGCAGGAAATGCCACTTCCAGAGGACCCACTGAGCTCCTTCTCTGCGTTGCTGTTTTTCATCACTTCCTCCCAAGGCAAATGGCCCAGCCGGACAGGAGTCAGGGGTGAGGTCTAGGGGTGTGGGACACTCACTTGGTAGCCAGCAGCATGTTCTTTCGGGAGTGCAGGTCACTGGGGTCCGTGTGCTGCCGGTTCAAATACTCAGAAACAGCTTTGGCGGGAAACTCCGTTTCACAAATATACCCAAAATCCCGAGCTAAATGAACAGCTTCTCCTGAAAAGGTAGCAGCAGAGGTGATAATGATAGCATCCAGTCCCTAAATATCCCAGGCCAGGAAAAGGGCCCCAGTCAACTCTGCTATAATTTACTGAAGAGACCAGCTGTTGAGGGCAAAAGCAAAGGTGAGACAGATGCCCAAAATAAAAATGATTCTCAGGTCACAATTAAAGTTGATGGCACAGACTTTGCTTCTGCTGCCCGCCCTTTCCAGCCTCTCCTTGATCATCATTCCAGTCAAGTCCTAGCTCGATTCCCTGAATAGCTTCAGATCTCCCACACCCAAAGGTTTGCCTTCAGAGAAAGGTGGTCATAGAGATTCAGGGGAGCCAACTTACAACTGCACCTAAACTGTTGTCATGGCTGGATATTCTAAGTCAGATACCGCGCGCCCTCCCCCCCCCCCCCCCGTTTTTAAAGCATCTGTCACACCTGCTTAAAATCAAATTTTAAAGTCTTCCTATTTTTTGCATGATCTTTTCTTTTACTATAATTTTCTCAGGAAAAAATCTTAATACAAGTGTATATATGTACGTATAAGTATATATTTCTATCTAGCAAAGAAATACTTATTATTCTTGTCAGTATCACTGCTGTTTAGGTTTCAGATTTCTTCTCTTCGGAAGTTCCTGTCATCATCCTCCTACTTGAGGACATTCTACTGCACAAAGATGACAGAGCAGCTATAAAAAACCTGGGCATCCGAGGGGTTCCTCAGTTAAGGGACTCAGCAGTCTTTTTTTAAAAAAAGCATTATGACCCTTTAAAGCACAGCCTTAGGGGTTCAAGGGAAGATCCTGAACACAAGAGAGGTATGTTGAATTACCTCAAAGCTTCATTATTTTTAAGGCGTATGACTTCCTTTTAATCATCATTATCATACTAACAACAAAAGACTTCAGGCCTGTGCTTAAATGATTCAGAAAGCTGACAACTGTCAACCAAATGTTGGAATTTCTGTAGGTTTCCTGGTTTCCTCCATGCCCCATCCAAATCCCTGTTTGGGATTGAGATTACCTTGACTGCTTTTCAAAATGAGGATGGTGATATTAGCAATTCCCTGAAGGGCAAAAAAGTAAAATCCCCAGGCTAAGAGTCAACCATTAGTAAGTGTGGTCTGCAAGATTTGGTGACTGCTGCTACTAGAGGGTAAGGTCTGGCCAGGCAACTTTGCCTTAATGATGACAAAGTGCAAAGCCTATAAATGTGATGACTTTATGGTTGCTGCATAAATATTCTAAGAGTCCCACCTCCAAAAGCCAACTCCCCACAGGAGTGTCATAATATCACATCCATAAAAATACATGAAAACCACAATAAATGAAATTCTACAACTTCCTCCATTAGAACCTACTGGCTTTAATTTCCCATTCCTTCCTTATCCCACAAATTCAACTGCAGATCTAGTTTTTCTAGACTGTATAACGGATCCTGTTTATTATACCATAAATATCATCTCCAACTCCAAACTGATGAACAAATTAGAATGTGCTTAGTATAAGTAGAGCACTCTAACTCACAATTGATGAATCTATGATGAAGATCACACATGACTCCTCTCCACATTTCCTCACCCTCCCTCCAATTTTTCTCTTAGGCCCTATTGGCTTTCTTAAGTACATTTCAATAACAAAAAGTCCCAGGTAATCAGTAGGAGACTGAGAACTGTGAGTGGTGAGATTTAAAATAACCATTAGGGGTCACAAATGCAATAATAATTTCAGAAATTGACAAGGTGTTTTCTATTCCTGAAGATTTCTTCTATTACTGAAGATTCAGGTGAAAATTTTGGAAAGAAAGGACAGATAGAGTTGATCTGCTTAGAGTGACTTTTGCAAGATTTCATACAGAGGGTGTTTCAGACATAGTGTCCAGCAGGTGGCTGCAGAGGTGACCCCTGCACTGGCTTGGAGATTGGACCTGAACATTAGTCGGAGCTTAGGGACCCTACTTCATGTCCCTTGGCCTCTTTACAATTGCCAGCTCCCTCTAAGTAAAAGGACCTTTGAACTTCTCTCAAGCAGCCGCTTGACATCCAACTCATAAGGGCACGACAATCGCAATGATTTCCAGTTAATCATGAAACGTGTAAAATGTCAGCCTTCAGCCTACAGTTAAGCTCAGCCACTTCGTGAAATGGCCACACGTCTTGCTTACCTTCCACCAGGGAGGTGAGTAACGTGACATTTGCTGCTTTGCGTCTGCCCGCGGGTAAATTCAAACCGATTTTTTCTAGCCTTTCTCGCAAAGATCTCCCCCCATTTTTCGATTTGGCTCTGAAATTGCAAGAATTAACATTCTGATTAACCTCAGAGTGTTCCTGAAACAAAGTTTAGACTTAGCAATCTAAAGCCCAGTGGAGCTTGAAGAGGTTTTAACTTGAGGTTAGCACATTTTCCCCCTTCCTTTTAGTTATTTGCTGATACTTTGCTGAGGTTTGCTTAATTTCTGCAATACAGAGCATAAAAAAAATTGAGTCGCTTTCTTTTTTTATCTCGTGAGAAAAAAAAATGATACCAGATGGGAATAATTAGAGTGTAGGTTGTGGGTCCAGAGAAAGTAGAAGTTGTACATGCACACACACTTTCCTTGTCATGGAGCCAATGAGGTGAGCAGAAACTGGGCAAACACAACCTAGCTGGAGCGAGGAGAAAGACTGGTTCAGAGAGAAGGCACCAGATTGAAACAGGTGGGTTTTGCTCAGAAGGGGTCAAGAGCTGCTACAAAATGGAGTCAGGTTAAAAGTGTTTGTTCCAGTGAAACATGAAATCAATGATGTTGAAAATCGTAACAACAGTATAAACAATTTAGGGAATTTAGTTTTGTGATCAGCACTTTACACTGATTATCTCACTTAATCTCATACTAAGTTTTATACACAGGTGCTCAAATACCCAGGGGATGATTGAAAGATACTTGCATACTCTGGAGCTGAAAGGACTCACTTGAAAACTGAATCGAAGTAGAGCAGAGCAAGAGGATTCAAAATGAACAACGTTCCTGGGTCACACCCTTAACTCCGCCCAAGGCTGTCCCTTGTAGGGAGGATACAGGCAAAAATACAGGGAGAAAAATTTCTCTGCCCTCTCCTGCTGTACTACTCACATAGGCACTTTTAGGAAAGAAAGGACTCTCAATGCCCAGAGTAGGCTACCGGGCCTCCCTGGTGGCGCAAGGAGTTAAGTACAGCATTATGAAGCAGTCTGCAGCCTCTGCAGCCCCAAGCCTCTACAGCCTGAGTTCCATCCCCAGCCAGGGAGCAACCCACATGGCACAGCAGACCTCTCCTGACTCGCCTGCTGCACCCTTCATCAGTGCATTTCAGTCAATCTGCCTGTTCTGCTCCCTACTCTGTCTCTGGTGAATCCTCTCACACCCCCACACCTCTGGCCTGTACCCCAGTTCACGTATGCATAAATAAATAAATCTTTAAAAAAAAATAGGCTACCTTGGAAATTTCATCTCATACAAAGTCACCTTCTTCTAGGGACACTAACAACTGTTCAGACATTTGCAGGAACTTTGGGGGAGACTTTGAATGTCAAGATGAAAGCCAACTTCCCCAATCATTTTCCACTACTTGTTTATGGATTATCTTCCTTCAACATGGGAGAGCATCTGAATGGTACTGAGGTATAATTATTAATACTTCCAAAGTTGTATCAGTGTGCTTACTGGTGGTGGTGTTACTGAAGTAAGCTTACGGATCTAGAACCGTTTTTCAACGTACGACTCATTCATTGGTAGGTCGTGAGATCAACCTGGTTGGCGGCCAACAACATTTAAAAACAATAAAACTGTACAAAACAGTGTACAAACGAGTATCAGTGTACAGTGCAGGTAGGAAGGCGGCTGCTCAACGAAACGTGTTTTTTCCTCAGTGTGTGTGGTTCTAGGCCCCACGCTTAGGCTAGGCAATGCCCTGAAGGTGTCCCGCGGGATGCATGGAAAGGGGCGCCAGGAGCAGGACAGGGAGGCGCAAGTTCCCAGCGTCTCGAAGCTGGCGGGAGGGGGCGCGTGCGCAGCGCGGGTCCGCAGTGCGTGGGTCCCTTGGCGGCAGCGTTTCCACGCGCGGGCAGAAACACTTGGCGACCGACTCTCTCCGCCCGCGCAGCTCAGGGGGCGCGCTCCGACCGCCCGGTTGCTAGGCAACCGCGTCTGGCTGCGCCTTGGGTATCAGCGCGAATCCCCACCATAGACACGCTCCTGCATGCGCGCGCGCGCGCGCGCGCACACACACACTCATTAAAAGACTTTTTTGGGGGGAGGGGGTGTTTACCTTCTGAGGACGCCACCGAGGAGAGATGCGTTGAGGCATTCGGGGGGCGAAAGCCGTCTCTGCACTTCCCCCACAGTTACTTTGTACTTTGAAGTTGAACTGAGAAGAGACAAACGGCCGGGCACCGAGCAAAACACCTCGCCAGTGTTGACGGACATGCCTCCCAGGAAGCCATCTTTATTCATCATCAGAGAAGTCACAGATTTGGGAGGAACAGGAACTAGAGAGAGAAAAAATATGCCATAAAGGTGACCGGGTTTCGATCCTGGTGACCGGTTGATAGAATGTGTCCGTGCGTGCGCAGGGGCGAGGCCACAGGACAGGCGCCAAGTGGAAAGCTGGAGGAGGAAGTGTTTGTTCCAGTGAGACCGCGGTGCGTTCAGAGCACTGTGTACAAACAAATGGAAAAGCCATCACTCCTCTGGAAACTTACCCCATTTGTATAGTAGACATGAGTGTCGCTTGCCACAGCTCCTCTCATTACACAAATCAAGAAATCACACAATCTAGAACTTAGAGTTTACTGTGAAGCCAGGCAAATCCTATTCCATTATGTGGAGCTGTGTGACCTCAGTCATCTCACTGAACCTCTCTGAATCCTAGTTTTCTTATGTCTCCTGAAGATAATGACATTTGTTGGTAAGGCCTGAAGGTGATCGCCCACCACCAGTGATAAAGTGGGAATACCCATGGTCTTCATGGGAACCGTCTTTCTTCTTTTATTGGACCCAAATCTGTGGTCATTGTGGGAGAGCACCAGGAGGATAGAGCCTATCAGGCACTTCGCCCAAGAACAGCCAAGTACTATCTTTAAGATGGGAAGAGCTGCTCATCTCTCTAAAGTGGATCCCATTTCCCCCTACATCTTAACAATGATTCATTTAGAAATGAACCCAAATGCTTTTCTTCAGTGAAAGCAATTCTGCAGTGACATGAATTTTGTTTACAAATTAACATAAAGCACTGGCTGGTGATTGTTTGGAGCAGTTATGATTTACAACAGGTGCCCTGATCAATCAACCAATCACTCTAATTCATATGAGCAGCGGTCTTGCCTTGCCCCAGTTGTTTCATTTCGGCAAGTAATTGATAACAAACCGCACTCAAGGTATGTTTTATGCAGGAGTTAATAAGAGGTGACAGCTGGTTGCCACTGCTACCCAGGCGCATTCAGTCTCTCCAGCCTGTATTTCTGTTTAATTGTGTTTTTGTGTCATCTGCACCTCAGGAAGAGGCGGGTCTCAGAAGAATCAGAAGGCTGGGAATGAGGAACAGTTGAATGAATGGTCAGCCTCTTGGTTCCCTGGCAGTCTCACTCCCTTGGACTTCTATACCTCTGAAGCCCATTCTCTATCTGCAGGCTCTAAAAGCCACTGGGCTGGCCACTTCTGCCATGCCCTATACCTTAGCTTCTTTAATTCAGATATGAATCCCTCAAATCTTCAAACATTTTGTTGATCACCAGTCCAGGAGATGAAACACACATCTAGCATGGAAAAGGAAGCTTTAATTCCTCCTTTTTAAATAAGCACTGTCTCATCCCATAACCCTGATAAGGAAATGATATGCTCTTTCTACCATCTGGAGCCTAGAACTCTACATGTCAAACAAATCATATAATCTCCTTTGGATAGAACAGATTTACCAACACTGAGTATTTTTGTAACACCTTATACTCTTTGGCACAGATTCCAGCATTTAGACCTCCTGGATTGTTTAGAGACTCCTAATAGCTAGGTAGGTTCCCAATCTTTTACTTACTATGAATTGTATTCAACCCTTTACAAACTCTTTGTTAATAAAAGGGCTTTCCTGGGAAATGGATAGGGAGACTCAAGCATTCTCTTTTGCTGCTTCTCAATAGATATTTTTAGATTTCTGGATCTGTCCATGGAGTCTTAAAACCTTGTCTCAGGACAGATGATGATATAAAATAACAAAGTGGATCTGCACCATATAGTGGTGGGGACACACACTGAAAGGGTTATTTTTGTTAATTCCCTTCATCATATTCTCATCAATGAAGCTCCTTCCCATTGGACAGTGAACCACTGAAAATTCAAAGTGTGAGTATTAATTAAATTTGAGGAAAATATGGAGTTAAAGTGACTAGACAATGATTGGGGTGGGAACACCCTGTTATTTAATTCCCTTACACAACATTTGCATCTATTTTAATTTATCTTACTCTTCACAGCAGTCATTTCCATATTTCAGATTCATAGTCAAGTACTATAAAACAATTTATGATCATGGTAACTGGCATTAGATACCTTGAAAAAAACTTTCCCCCAGATATAGATGACCCTTAGTAGTTCTTACATGGGACGAACTATAGAAATAAATTTTATAAAACGCTCATCCTTGAATTGCCAAAATATCTGTATACTGAAATGCTATTTAGAAGGAATATTTTTTAAAAGAAACCAAAGAAAGTTGGAAGTAGAAAATTCAGTTTCTGCATCCCACACTGGATAACTGAATGTCTCCTGAGGATTAGAATTTTACCTGCTGTCCCTGATGCCAAATCTCTTGAAAAGCCAGGCCTTTGGAGACACTTTATAACCTGCCCTCTAATTTCACCATTGTTAATTGCCTGATTTACCTGACAAGAGCTAGTTCCTTTGGGGCATGTAAATTGCTCCCTCCGGTGGGCTATACCATTCTGCATATACATTATCACCGAAATAGCACCAATCCAGTCAGCTTCTGTCAGCACACTGCAGCCTGGGGGAGTCCCCAAACCCACCCCCCCCAGCAGACTATTTGAGCAGGCATGCTTTAGGTTATATTCCCATTTTCTAATTTAAGTATCAATCATGTTTCCATTCTCTACTTACTCATCCTCAGGTTCTAAACCTCTCTCCTACTCTGGCCTTAGCACTGGTCCCCTAGATTAGACCCTACACATTTCTTGGTCCAACTTCCCTTCAAGTCCATGGCACTGTTTCCTACTTTCCTCTCCACTCTTACACCTGCTTAGTTCAGCTGATTAACCCCATATTTTATTCTCTTTGTCTTTTCCCTTATGCTTTGCTCCAGCTTATCAATAAACCCAGAGAGCAACAGGGCCCGGTTGATTTGTTAGTAATTATGAGCACACTGTTCCTGCTCACAGATCCCAGAGATGACTAAGATAGGTTTAAAGCGGCAGCAGGAAATGGTAAGGAAATGGAGCATAGCAAAACTCAGTGTGAAGCTTTCAGTTCTTTACATGTTTACAATTTTCTGTGCATACATTAAAACTGTTTTTTTTTTCTCTTTAGTTCTCAGTTGGATAGCAGGACCAACTTCTGGATGTAACTTGCTTCTCTCCCCTTTCTCTTGCATTATATTGGGGAGAAGAGAAAAGGTAGAAAAACTAATGAACATTTCATTACAGCAACTGGAGTTTTATTCAAGAGAGAGAAAAGACAACCGATTAGATAAAATATTATTCATTAGTAGATGAACAATGGAATCAAAGTGTTAACAAGCCAGTGCCTCATCTGCACTCTTTTATTATTTTAATAATTTATTTTTATTTATATCTTTTACATCATTGTGTATTCCCCATAAAATTAACTTAAATGTGAAACCAGAGCTTTGAGATCTTTGTGTTTGACTGGGAACAGACCCTCCATGGGTCTGATGTGTTGGTGGGAAGAAAAAGAGAAGAAATGAACCCATCTAATAGATTTAAGAGTATGTCCCTCTGAAAGGGAAGCCTCCATAAGGCTGAACATGCTGGAAATAATTCTCGCCAACATTACTTCCTCACACTTGCATTCTCATCTACCTGGGGACCAAATTTTATTCCACATGTATATATGGTCATGTATAAACATGAGCCCTGAAATCCTGGGAAGAAAAATAAAAGGGCTCCCACAAAGAAAGCTGAAACATTAAAAAGAAAGAAAGAAAGGAGAGAAAAAAGAAAAGAAAAGCTACAAACACCCAGTCTTGGCATACTTTACAGGCAAAGTCTCAGAGGCTGGAAAATGAGTTGGGTTCCATCATTTGGGCTGTGGGACACTGAGCAAGTCATTTATCTTCTCTTGTCTCAGTTTCCACGCTGGGGAATTTCCCCACTGGGGGGTAGGTTGGATGTGAAGGTTGAAGAAGGGTTTCTAACCTTTACAGCACTGAAATTCTATGAACTCTGATTACTCCCTGGGTGACTGGTATGTATCTCAAAGCTTCTAGTTGAGCACAATCTATTGGGATCCAGTTCAGCTCTGGAAAAAAAAAAATGAGCCTCTTCCTTTGAGAGGAAACTCCTGCCTCTACCTGGTTTTTACCTTCTAGGTTAGAAGGAAGAATCCCAACTGAACCCATTGTAATTGAAATTGGCCATTTCTTTACTCCCTCCCCCAAAGTAAATCTACACCAATTTTAGTATTTATGTGGGGAAGGGGCCAGAACTAACGGAAAAAAAAGTGGGAGAGAAGGGAGGTTGAACTGAAACTAACCAAACAGGATATCCCTAAGACCAATGAAAATGCCCCACAGTCACAACATTTAACCTTGGACTCCAGCCACGCTAGCCTTTCCAAGAAATCCCAGCATATTTTTTGCTGTCTAAGGTGTCAAATTGATGGCATATTGGCCTATGATTGCACCAAAAACTTTTTCTTAATGCCTAGGTGAGCCTGTTTTTAAGGGAGGCTATATACAGAATGGTGTCAGTCATCATTTACATTAGCTGGGCACCACCCCGCCCCCGCCCCCGCCCCCAGCCCAGATTCCTAATCTTAATGGAAGTGAGAGTTAAGAATGATTTTTTAATGTCTCGTTGGATTTTTAGACTGTTAATGTACCGAATCCTTCTCATTATTACTTTATTGATTGCTCATTGACCAGCCCCCTTCAAATCGTATTAACCACCCTCTGCCGGTTTAGATTAGGAGAGTTTAAAAAGCACCTTTCATTACTCCCCCCACTTCTGCCATGGAGTTGAGATTCGTAGCTTAATGGGAGCTCTAATGGGGCAGCTAAGAGGAGAGGGGCCACGGTCCCTGCCGATTGCATTAATAGCTCAAAGGGGGCCAATACAGAAAATTAGCCGTAAACGAGCTCTGGAGATCTTCAAATGAAAGAGCCATTTATCACGCTGGCTACCTTCACTCCACTCGTTTGCTCTCTCTACTGGGAACAACTCATTTCCTCTTAACTAAATTACTTCAGAAATGTCAGCTAAACCCAGATAGCAAACATAACAAGCGAGCTACCCTATAATCTATGGGGTGATATCAACACCGGTGAAAAATTAGACTGGTTAAATTTTAGGTTTTCCATAATGAGAGAGGGAGAGGAAGAGAGAGAAAGCATGGAAGACAGGCAAAGAGAGAGAGTCCCTTTATGCTGAAGGCTTCTGGCTTCATAAACACAGAGGCAGATGTCCAAAAGCAAGTTGGAGACTACACTTTTATTTATTAAGAAGGTAGAATTAAAAAAAAAAAATCTCTAAAATCCCACTGGAAAACACGCAATAGAATTTAGAATATTTAGTTCAGAAAACTTTCTCACCCCCTCTTTTATGAAATTAATCTCCTGGACATATCCCTCCTAAAGGTGGAGAGGACAAAGATGGGGCACCAGGGAGGTGGAAAGGAATGAATGAACCCATGACCTTATTTTAAGTGGTTCATAGTAATTTAGAAAAATAAATCAACCATTTATTCCTATATTGCCCATGGCTCTCTAAAGACAAAAATATGATATTAGGATCTTTTCTTCATGTAATAAGGCAAATATCTGAAATATTAATGGTGGAGTTGACCTAACACTTCATATTCCTATTATGCCCCCTAAATCAATAAAGTGCCTGGGGATGGATGGGGTGTCACATAAATGTTTTAGGTTGTACATTTTTTAAAAAGATTTTTGGGGGTGATTAAAAAAAAATACTCCATGTCTCCAAAACGGAGCCAGCAATTGCTGTCAATATTCTCCTTTTCTTATTCCTGGAGTTACCCTTACACATAAATATTTATATTTCACTGACAAACATATACAAGCTCTGAAACCAAAATATCCCACATCTAAGAATATTCTCAACTCCATTCTGTTAGGCAAGCTAAGTTCCAAATATTTTCATTGGCCTCGTTATTATTAACATTTCTGATTGGGCCTCTGGTGGGCATGGCCCACCATTAGCCCAAATGCTGTTTCTAGGATACAGAGCCCTGAGTTTGGAGGCTCTAGGTTTCCATGAAAAGGGAGAGGGAACTAAAACAAAAATGTCAATGGAGTAGCACCTCCCTACTGATTAGTCCCCATCCACCAATCAAACAGCAATTAACCTAAAGGGAAGACCCCAGGGGAAATGGAGAAAGTGAGCTGTCAGCACAGTTGCACATCTAAGCATCAAGCCAGGGTGGCCCAGCAAACCCCAAAGCTGGCATTACAAAGCTAAAAGATATCATCTGAAGGGGAGAGAGGGGGAGATGTTTGGAGCAACACTTCAAATAAGCAGTTTTGCCCCAAACCTTCTACAATTCTTCCTCAGGATGTTCCATTCCAAATTCAGATGGTAACACTTCAAGTACAGCTTCCCCCTCCCACCGCTTGCCCCTCAAAGCTACTTTTTCTGCCTTCATGAAAGAAGAAAATTTAGAATCCTTTGCACTGGTTGGAATCCTTACTCCACAGCCCCCCTACTCTACCGGTTTGACGCTGGATTACTTTCCAAATCATCTTTCTTGTAATTGTTTTTGGGAATGTCAAGTGGTTCAAGTGAATCATAAATGACTGAAGCTGGGGGTTGATGACACCAAACAGACTTTCTCCCTCAGTGATGGGAAAGAGTTACAGTAGTTACAAGTGTATCTCCAAATACCAGTTCTTGTGATAATTAAAGATTGCACAGTTTACACATTCAAGTTCCTAAATCTGTGGCATGTGAGTGACATTCGGGCCTTTCGGCAGCCACACTAATCGCCAGGCATTCTCTCAGTGACTGTCAGAGAAGAGGGGGAAAAATTAAGCAGCTGCAATACGCCCGAAATGAGTTATTGTAATTACATTTAATTAGTTTAATTAGTTAATTATTTTGCTTACAGCTGTACAAGAGACTGCAAACATTTGTTAATATCACATGCCCTTTAACAGTATGGGGTGATTCCACAGTCACACTAAATCATGAATGCATATGTAGGAAGATTTAGAAATGTGCATAGGCTGTCTCAGCTTCTCAGGATGCGCATATTTAGCAACACATTTGGCACAATTAAAAAAAGAAGAAACAACTCGTAAAGCACAGAGAACTGGGAACAAAATTACCACCAAAAAAAAAAATCAAATACAAGAAAACAAGGAAAGACCTTTCTCAATGACAGGGGTTTAACTCAGTAAACTCCAGTTATCAAAGAAATAATTATAACACCTTTTTGAAAGCAGTGCTTTCCAACCAGTTTCATACGTAATGGAAGTTCAAGTGCGTAAGAAGCATCTAGGATTGTTACCAAAGGTACTATAAGAAAAATGGCAAGTTGCTATGCCTCTAATCTTTCTCCTCTGGGTTTTCGCCTGTAGTGTTCCCTCCCCACACTCATTTCCTTCTGCTTGACATGCCCTTTCACCTATTCAGAGAGCCTCTGTCCTGTGATTCTAAACAAATATTTGTATCTTATAAAATAATGAATTCCCCCCCCAAGTGAAAACTAATTACAAAGACATGACTGCACAAGAAAACTTTGCATATTTGAGGGGTGGTGGGAAGATGATCCATACCTTTTTTTATGACAGACTGGTCCAATAGATTCATGCCGCTGTTATTGGCATCTTCAACTGACTGTGAATATAAAAACATCACTATTCAAATTGACTGGATATTAAAGAATCGCACACATAAATCATGTCATTCCAAACTGGAGTTTCTGTTATTTCCATTTATATTAATTCACAAAGGGAGGTTTTATTATTATCATTATTACCTCCAAATCGACACAGAAATGAAATTCACCCAAATTATAAATTCTTCCAATGGAAGAAGAGGAAAAAAGGAAACTGTGAAGACATCTGGGATGCAGTATTGGTTTAGTTATTATATTAACCATAGATATTACATAGACACATAAACTTCTATATTATTTGCTCTTATGAATTGAGAAGATTTGGCAACAGCTGAAAGATTTTCACCAATATTAGTAAGAGCAATTTCTGTTTTCAATTCTATCCCAGTGCATCTTAACCCCAGAGTCATTTTGCAAATACATAATAGTTTACATTATGGGATTTTAATTAAAGTCTGAGCAATTTGGAATGGAATGCAAACAGCAACACATAGGAACATGCTTGCAAGCGCCAGGATAGCACACCCACTGCAGTCCACACAGGTCCCGGTGTGCTATGAACTTCTCGCTGCACAATGACAATCCCTTGGGGGAACCTGCGCAATTTGCTCCCCCTCCCACCCCTGCTGCTGCTGCTTCCCAGCAAGGAGCACACCTGTTAGGAAGGCAGTAAACACAGACAGAGAGAGGCTGGGATCCTCTCAGTCAGCACCTAGGTAATGGCAGGGAGTATTCATCCTCTGTGCTACAGTTTCATCCCGGAGAAAGAGAGTTTCAACCCTGGGTGTTGGCAGCACTTCTGAGGGGAAATAACTGTTGGAATGAGTTTCCGACTGTCAGGACGCATGGAAAACAGAGTTCTGGCTGTGCATCCCAGGGCATCCAAAAGCAATGGATTCTCCCCTCATCCCACAAGGAAAATAAATGCTAGGCCTTTCTGATAAGTACAGCTGCTTTCTTTGACCCTTAGAAACCTAAGGTTGGGCCAATTTGTCATCCACTCTACAGAGGAGTAGAGAGCAAAGGGTTTGAGAGTGAGGCTGTGTTTTCACAGCATTTCCCACCCACTCATGCTGTAGCCCCAGACAGGGTGTGTGTTCATCACAAGGAAGAGACTGTCTACCCCAAACAAGCAGCACATTAGAAATGAGATGATCTAATCATGGAGGGGGCATGTTAATTTGTTTCTTTTCCTTTTAATAGTCAGTCTTCTGTTCTAGGAAAGGTGAGGAAAATTGTTATTCTCCATAAGAACGGTTTCCCATGTTGCAACATGCCATGGACCTCTTAAGAAACCAGTAAAAAGCTTTTCAATAAAATACTTCATGTACCTTTGAAACTCCTGCAGAGACCCCGCCACGCACACTCGTGCACACACACACACACACACACACACACACACGATTCACTACTGTCTCTGCTCACGTGTCTACAGTGGTGGCGTGTCCACGCAGGACAGAAACACTGTCTTGTGCCTGTGGGCGGGGAGACCCGCGATCTCACCGGCTGGGACCGGTGTGCCCCCACACCTCACCCTCACGTCCCTGCGTAAATATGTATATACGCCTCATCAGCGACGTGGGGTAGTTGTGGTAGTTAATGAGAAGGCTCTTGTCTGATTTTCTATCTAATTACGGCCGCCTGCTGGGTTCTTGTACAGGATATTCACGCAGCATGCTGGCGCTTAATCGTCACAGGGAGGATCGTAAAGATTTAATTAGGACTGCATGCGGAAGCGCAGAAAAACAACTCAGACTCGTAATTACTAGACTTCTTTAGTTAAAAGTGATACCAGGGGTTGCTTTAAGACACTAGGGTGTGTGTGTATGTGTGTGTGTGCATGTGTGTGTGTGTTGGGGAGGGTGACTTAACATCCTTAATAAAACGCTAGGTTTATACTCATGGGTGGTAAAGGTTATGAGAGGTAAGGGAGCAAAGCTTGGAAGAAGAAAGAGGTGTTCACGGCAACTAAACAAACTCCAAACGAGGTGTGAGCTCGGTCCCTCTTTCTTTCTGATGCTGTTTTGTTTTTTTTCTTCTGAATTCTTACCGCTGCTCCCCTCACCATACACAGTCACTTTCACACACACTCAGACACACACACAAACACACGCACGCACACACACACACAATGAGTGAAATGTAGCATACCCAGAACCCAAACAGCGATTTGCTAGTTTAATAGCCCCTGTGAGTAAATTGAAATAGAAATTGACAGGGTTTTATAGTTTCATTTAAAAAATATTAGAAGCATTTGGTTAATTAGCTTTCCTCCTCTTCTCTCATGGTCGGGCGGTGGCCATGTGCATGCGTGCGTGTGTGCGTGTGTTTGTGTGTGTGTGTGCGCGTGTGTGTCTGGGTCGCACAACATCCCTCCCAGGTGAGTACCCTTGGCTGCGAGATGGAAAACTGACCAGGATCCCAGCCCAGGCACGCTCAGTCCTTTTTACAGACCAGTCGGGCACAACCGATCTAGTCAGTAGCTTCAGGAAACCCCCGCTCGGTTCTTGCAAGTTTAGGCCGCCCTCCCCCGCCGCTCCAGATCCCTAACTCAGAAGTGGATCCTCGCGGATGGGGCGGTGTAGCCTCCCCATCCAGAGGTCTAGTCCTAGGTACTTCTTCAGAGTCGTCTTTATCACCTGCCCCAGGTCACTTCAAGCACACCCGGCCCTCAGAAGGTCTGCCACCGCCGAGGAGTCAGAGATCAGCTCAATCCCAGTAGTTTACGTCCTGGGACAGGCGCGGGGTGAGTCCCCCCGGATCCCTTAGCCTGGACAGTGGTCCAGCGAAGGTTCCCGCCCTGGCTTTCCTACCTAGCCAGGCTATGGTCTGGGATATGCCTATGGGGTGAACAGGAGCGGAGCCGGGCAGATGCGAGCACCTGGGCCTGCACCTTCTCCTGCCCGGTGGGTTCTGTCCACTTTCAGGGCACAACTCTGCGGCTGCGGGAAGCTTCCACAAGAGTGTTCTCCCAAAAGCACCCTGACCTGGCCCTATTTTCCTCTTGCCTTTGGCCTTTTGACCAGACACTCAAAACCGTTCACAATTCTAACTTGAAAAAATATATAAAACTAAAGAAATCTGTTCCCTCTTTGGGGAGAATTCCTATGTAGGGTCTCCTGAGCCCCTCTGCCCTCAGGGTGGTGGTGATAAGGCCAGTGTTACATTGCCAACAGCAATGGTGATGAGTTGATCCACTTTCATTATCTAGCACTTTGAACCGTACTCAGAAAGGTTAATTTAAAAACTCCCCTCCCCCAGACACATTATCCGAATGCATTAAAAAAAACTATTAAATATTTTCTTTCTCATGTCATATTTTGAAAGAAGCAATATCTCCAGACAGGGACAGTCAAATTCAGTTAAATCAACAAAAAATATCATTCTTATTACTCCGGGTAAATCCAGCCACAAATCAGGTGATTCTGTCATTTTTGGAAATAACAACTGAATTTCCTTTAAAACAATAAACTATCACACACAGCATTGCTGCTGTCACCACATTTTAACTTTTCAAAAATACCTTTCCCCCCCCCAGCAAGATAAAGACGGACTCAGGCACCCTTTTCCCGGTTTCATTTCATTTTCCTCTGCTTCAGAGGTATGTCTAAAATGATGCATAATATATACAATTATGCCAATGTGACTTAAGTCTCAATTAAATACCTTTCAACCGTATTTATCTTTTCTGGAGACTATTTAAATTGGGGAACAAAAGGAGACCTGTTCAGAATCACCCAGACAGTCTTTAGAAATCATTTCTTTGATGTTTCTTTGTTTAGTTTAACCAAGTATTCTCAACCAAATCAGGCTCCATTGTGTAGGTTGCAGATGGGATACTGGGTGGGTGGGGGAAGTGTTTGGAGCCTTTTGTTTTAAGATATAAACAGGAGATGACTCTTCAACTGGGAAGGTGGCATAGGGGAGAGGAAGGTTTTAATGGAGGGGAAGGTCTGGAGAGGGATGTAGAAAATATTGCTCCAGAGTTGTTTAATGGACCAAAAGGTGAAAAGAATCTCCCCAATGGTATGTATTCTCATGGGCTCCCAAACAGAATTATGGCTTTCTGGGTGTCTCCCCACAAATATTCCATTTCTTGGGTGATGACTCTGGCACTCAATTATCTTGGGAAAGGTCTCTACAGTTTATGAGACATTCAAAGTGAGATCTGGCTGGGACAAACATAGTGTATGGGTATTTTTCCCCAATGTGCATTGTCATGCTTAACAAAGTCTTTGCAAATCCAGCAGAAACCCCTAAAGCCTACTGAGGACGCTGCCTCCATGCTGCTGCTGCAATCCAAGCCCCTAGGTGTCTGCATCTTTATGTGCCAAGTCAGTGGGTCAGGCTCACTCTGGGACACTGTCGCTTGGGGAGGGCTGGGAAGGGTACCCTGCTTGTTCACACAAAGCACAAGCAAACAGGAAGTTGGCTCAGGCAAGACAAAAACATTTAGCCTTGATTCTGATCCTAAACTATGAAGACACACATATATATTTCTCCTTCATGGTTTCATTTCTCGTGGTTTTGGGTTTCATATTTGGACCTCTAAAAACCGCCTCTGTAGAACCACCTCCGTATACACAGACAGGTTTATATGTCGTGTCCAGCTGGTCCTGGCCTAAACCTGAAAATTACCTGCCCCAAAGGACACAGAGCTGCCTCCCCCTCGCTGGACATTTGCTACTTATTGTCGTTTTCGTTTGTTTGTTTGTGGTTACCTGGACGTCTTCCATGCCGGGATGCCCGAGGCCGTGCAGCGAGAGGCTGTCACCCATGCCCGCGTCCAGGCCGTGGTGCGCGGAATGCAGCAGCACATCCGGCCGGCGGACCGAGTGGTAGTCCCTCCGGGGGTCGAGGCCGGAGAGCTGGGGCAAGGCGGCCCGAGGCTGGGGCAGGAGAGAGCCGGCTTCTGAACCCACTTCTTGCCGCTGTCGTTGGCCCCAAGGGTGCTGCTGGGGCTGGTGCAGTGGATTCAGGGAGTAGGGGTCGTTGACGTGGGAGTAGGGGTCCTGGCTCTGATGGTAGGGGAGAGGCTGGTAGGGGGGCGGGAAGTAGGGCGGCTGAAAGTCTGACGATGGGGTGTGGGACAGCGGCGGGGCGCTCGAGTAAGGTCCTTGGGACACCGAGCCCAGCTGGGAGAGCCTGGAGCTGTGACTCGGGACGCCATCGTGCCGGTCCTGGGAGCGAAGAGAAGAGAGGAACAGAGGGAAAGAGAGAGGGACAGAGGGAGAGGGAGGGAGGGAGGGAGAGGGGGAGGGAGGAGAGAGAGAGAGAGAGAGAAGAGAGAGAGAGAGAGAGAGAGAGAGAGAGAGAGAGAGAGAGAGAGAGGAAAAAAAATACAAGCGACAAATGGAGAAGCCGGTAGGTTCTTCTTGGAACAGGGGAAGCAAGAGGCTGAAACTTAGACTCCCAAGTTGACTCAGAGGGCACAAGATTTCAGTAATTCCAAACTCGAGGCTGGGGGTGGGGGGAATGGGGAGAATCACCCACTTAACCAACATCTGAGCTTTCTGTTGGGAGTGCAAAGTCAGCAAATGGGTGAGGGCAAAGTCACTGTGGATGGAGGAAATTTTTTAATTCTTTAATTCATTAAAAATACAGGAGTCTTACATATGGTACTTACTCCTTTCAGTGTTTTAAACTATTTCTCCTAATGCTTCCAGAGGACCAAAAGCATAACAAATAAAACTTCATACGATTTGGTGTGCTGTTCCTCCTTGTTCAAAACCAACTTCTGCCTCCTCTGGCAACCCAGCGGGCTGACTTGGAGCTCCCCACACAACCTGATCATTTCGGGAGTTCCCAGGAATCTGCCTGATCTGAGTTTCCAGTCATCCTTCCCTCCCCAAGAGGAATTAAATAATTTAAATCGTGTTTGAATGAACAGGATCTCACTCGAGATCATATCCTGAGCCCATGTTAAAATGAGCTGAGCTGTGGCTCACAGGAGTTATTTCTGAGGTGGCTTTTCTATATCCAATGCCATTGTACTCCAGGGCATGAAAGTGAAGGAGCTGGGCTTGCAAGAGGGGAAAAAGCTCAGACAACTTATTGTTGGTCCTATCTGGAGTGGTAAAGTAAGTGAAAGGAGGTGGGGGAGATGAAGTGTGTGCGAAGGGAGTTTAAGTTTCTCCCTCTCCTCTGTGGAAAAGCCATGGTAAAGTCCCCCATGGTTCTTTTTGGAGAAATAAGTCACCTAAATTTCCAAACTGCAGTGGCAAATAAAAAGTTTTCCTGTTCGGCCTCCCCCCTCCCCAGCTGACTCCTGGAGCTCAGAAGGAGAACACACAATGCAGAGAGAAGCAGCTGCAGCCTCGTCCAATTATGGTGCTAAATTACCAAGCCAAAGGCGCTCAAAGGAAGACAGAGACCGAGAGAGTGACACATACACACACACACACACACACACACACACACAGACACACACACACACACACAGAGACGGAGAGACAGAGAGACAGTAAGAGGAGGGAGCATGCAATTCTGGTACAATGTGAATCCAAACTCACCATGGATGAATAGGTGTGGACTAACATCTGGAAAAAAAAGCCTGGTTACTGCTCAAAATCAAACAATGATATAAAAAAAAAATCAAGGAGTCCAGCAGAGAAATGAGCTGGACACAGGAGCCGAGCTTGAGGTGTTTCCAGGACAAGCCATCAAAAAAAAAAAAAAAATTACCCTCCCAACCCCCAAACAAGATTGGCGATGCCTGTCACACACAGACAGAGCTGTTCATCGGTCTCTTGCTGTCTTTTTGGGCCTCTTTTCTTCTGCTGTTCTTTGGGGCTCCAGATGCAGTCCTCTTCCACCCGAAGCTGGGCTCAGACTGCTCCGGCGCCCCTTCCTCCCTCCGCTTGCCTACACCGCCTCATAATAATTGATATTCATGACTATTAATATTACACGAGTACTTTAAAGGGAGAATGGAGGACAAATGGAGCGTGAAGCAGCAGCGAGCGCAGAGCTCCCCTACTATTGTAAATGACGTTCATTCAGTGGAGAATTACTAGATGTAATCAGACGAGGGGGCTGGCAAAGGCAGACTGGGGAAAAAGTTTAGCAGGAAAGAGGCAGAACTTCAATTAACTGAGCCAGGGACACGAGTAAAGCAGCCCCTGCTCCTTTGGACAAGGCAGTGAGGGAGAGCATCGCTGGGGGCTTGTAGCGAACGTAGGTGTCCTTGTTCCTGAGAGGGACTTTCCTAATGGGAAGAATTGATCGCCCTAGGTGCTTTGTGTGCAGATTAAAAAGCAAAATAGAAAGGCGTTGCCTCATCATTTGGAGGGGAGAGAAAAGTAAACCAGTGGGCCTGGTTGTTTACAGTGACGTTTGCAGACTTCCACTGAATATGGGAAATTATGCTTATTTATTAAAGGACAGAGGGGAGCAGGGAGCTTTTCATCCCGTGGCAGCCTTTCTCTCCTTAGTGCTCGCACCCTCTTCCATTTTTACCTCGATTTAAAATATATCCAATCAATCTTCAGGTACACTAAACTGATCCTTTCCAGGCAAAGCCGGGGGCAACAGAAAACCTTTTTGGATGTTTCAGGAACCCGTTCAACTGGCTTGACTGCCATTTCTGTTAAAGTTCAACCTTCCCGACTTAAATAGGCTCCTTTCCCCCGGTTAAGGGTTCTCCTATTTTTTTTTTTTTTTTTTTTTTGAGCACAAATTTAGGTGGCTCGGAATACCTGCAAGCTTCTGACTCTCGCCTCTCTTCCTCCTCCTGGGCTCCCTTCTCTCGCCCCTCCACCCCTCCCTCACCTTCTCTCCCCGCTTCTTCCCTCTCTCCCTCCTTTCCCATTAAACCAATTTACTTTTCATAAAGATCGACTTTTGCCAAGCGTACTTTTTAGAAGCCACTGAAATCCCTCTATGCATCCCCGGAGCTATTTGCACCCGGGCCCCATCCCCGCCAGTGTCATGCCCACGTCGGGCGCTCACATTCTTTAGGGAGTTCTAGCGCCTTCGACTTTACCATTATCTCGCCTGTTAGAGAAAGAAAAGGAGGCCGAACCGAAACAAACCCCACCAGGCGGAGGCGCGGCTCTTCGTTACAGTGAATACACAACCACAAAGAGGAAAGGAAAACCCCAATCGTTCCGCAGAAAGACGAATTCATAGTCTCTCTCTCTCTCTCTCTGTCTCTCTCTCTCTCTCTGTCTTTCTCTCCCCCCCCTCCTTGGCCCCTACTCTATCTGCCTCCCCGCACCCCAAAATTAGGATTTAGGGCTGCCCAGCTGGGGGGTTGGGGCGCGCGCCGGACGCGGCCAGGCGGCGGGACCCGCGCGAGCCTCCGCGGAGCCCAGTTTGCCCGGCAGGGCTGGGCCCGCGGCTTCGGGGGCAGCTGCCCAGCCGCTTCCGCGCGTAGCCGGTTCCTAGTATCCTCCAGGCGGCTCCCCGCGGGCTCTCCGGAGTCATCCTGCGGCCGCCAGGTCGCGTCCTGACCCCCACGGGCTCGGGCAGCCTCCGTGCGTCCCGCCGCCCGGCTCGCCCGGCCCCGCGCCGCCTCTGCGCTTCGCTCGGGACTTTGTTTCCCTTCCTCCCGCCTCTCCAACTTTTCCTCTGCGCGCTCCAGAGCTCGGCTCGCCAGCCTCCACCTTCCCCCTCCCCCTAGTTCTGCCTCGCCTTTCTTTTCGCCTTTCTCCAACTTTTTCTTTCTTTCTTTCTTCTCGTCCTCGACGTCTCCTCGGAGTCTTCTCCCCCCAGCTCCAGCCCTCTTCCCGCGGCTGCTCTAATCCGGGGTCCCCAGGCCCTCTTCTGCCCCGAGCGAGGTTCCGCCGTCTGTTCCCTCCCGGTCCGACCGCGCGCCCCGCCCGGACCCCGCCCGGCCCGCGAGCGGCGGAGCCGCCCCGCCGCCGCGTCCCGGCGCCGACACCGAGGAGGGCAGAGCGCGCGCGGCCCCGGCCCGGCCCCGGCCCGGCCCCGGCCCCGCCGAGCCGGCGGGCGCCCGCGGGCGCGGGGCCACCTCTCTGGCCCGAGGAGGAGTTGCGCTCGCCTCGGCGCTCGAGAACGGTGCGCACTGAACGGGGGCAGAAAATTTCGTTAAGAACACCCAAACACGAGTCGGTTGCGACCTCTGTTTGGATGCACTGACCCTCAAAGAAGCAAAACACAAGAAAAAAGAAAAGAAAAAAATTGGCTGCTACGGCTCCTTGGCTTATGCTCTATCGACATCCATCCATCCATCCATCCATCCATCCGTCGGTCCTTCCATCCAGCCATCCAGCCATCCATCCATCCATCCGTCTCTCTACCTCGCTCCTTCTAGTTTTCCGTCCTTTACGTGGATCCGTTTGTGATCGATTTCAGAGATTTTATTGAAAATAAAAATTAAAAGCCCGAGTCTGTTACGAATGAGGCTTGAAAATCTAATTCTCTCCCACACTCAAAACGAGGAGAGCTTCTGCCTTTATCAAGTCTCTATTTTCTCTGCCCACATTCAGTAGCACCACATTCCCCCTCAGAGCCTAAAAGGGGGCGGGAGGGGGGGCGGTGAGGAAGAGAGAAAGAAAAATAAAGGAAAAAAGGAGAAATCTCCTAAGTTAAAGTAGTCAGATTTCAACCTTAAAATCCTTTTCCAGAATAGCGAAGTCTCCCCAAACCAGCTTTTCTAAAAGTTAGAGAAAGCTGAAAAACCCCGGCCGGAAATCTGCGAGTAAATATCTTTAAAATATATATCAGTTGGGGTGTCAAGAAGCTCAAATTCTCTATCTGCAAAGCTCTAAGATGCATCTGGGGGTGTAGGCTCACCTCATAGATATCTTCGTACTTGACATTCTCCACGAGCTTCCAGAGCATGATGGCAGCCTGGTCTCTAGGAGGTGAGTGCATTCATGTGAGGAGCAGATGTCTGGCTTCTCAGGACTCCGCTGTCTGTAATGATCCATCTATAATTGGAAATGGGGGATACACACCAAATCCGACGCTCCTCTCCCATCGCAACTTATATCTGTTGTCTCAAACAATAGGCTGGAGAAGTAAGCCTCAGCAGAGAGAAAAACATTATTACACACACAGGACTTAGATGCAACCCACATACATATATATTATAAAAATCATAAACACGTATTTACACCCAGACATCCACATTTACTTATATAAGCACCCTTGGGTCACACCGTCTACAGACTCCAAACATGCATTTAAAGGACAGTTGTTCAGTATGATTAATACAAATATACACATTTAAAAACCTCTATATTGAAAATGATGAATCACTGTTGCTACTGACGAAAGTCTTTACAGTTATAATGAGAAACTAGGGGGCTAACAGCCCCCCATTTTCTATGTAGCTTTTAAAAGGGGGACTATTTCTGAAATTTTCAAACACAAAAGCTCCTATTCAAATGTGTTCAGCAGAAGGGTATTTTGAAAGCTGAATTTGGGAGATTTTAAGGGCTATCTCTGTGTGGATGGCCACACAACTTTTTTCTTTAACTGTACTTCTGACACTGTAGAAAGACAAAAAGAAGCCAGCTCATCACTGTCACCATTTCTAATATTTTCTAGTTATTTTGGCCACTGCATTGAGAAACTTAAATACTGTATATACACCTCTGTCTGTACTGTTTGTCGGTTTTAGGGGTTGTTTATGTGTATTTTCGTCGGATTCCATGAGCCATTCTTGGCTAGAGTCTCCATTTTATGAAGTATTTTTTTTCAGATTTTGAGAACAACATGGGCACACATTCAAACAATGTTAATTTTGTGCCTTTTCTTTACAAAGGCAAGGGTTATTTTATATTTGCATCTGTTGTCTATAACTTTGAAGTGGGTTTAATTGCAGAGAGTCAAGAAATCGTCACCTGAACCTTTGAAAGGTTTAATAGGAATGTTCTTCAAAGAGATAGTGGAAAATATATTTTAGTATATGTGTTTTGTTTGTTTTGAGGGTGTCTTTTTTTTCTTAATAAGGTGATTTCTATAATTTTTTCCAAGAAAATAAACAAGAACAAGATTAAACAAACCTCGAAAATGGGCGCCCTTTAAGGTACAGGGTTTTGAATTTTATAACGAAGTTTATAACTCACCTCTTTCTTTTTTTAATCCCACCCCTCTTTTTTTTAGTACCTTTCAGGGTGCGGAAGGAAGGATCCCTATTGCCAGAAGGGAAGTCCAGTGTAGTATCTTCGCCCTTGGGGCAGAAAATAAATGACAAATGGGAATGAGGAGGAACTCGGGCAATTTGGGTGGAAGTTATTAAACCTGATAAGAGTGAATCTGCAAAGGGTGATTGTCTTTAAATCTCAGGACTGCTGAGCGCTGCCGCGTGAGCAAAGACCAACGGTCTTTGAGCAGAGGGCTTTGGACAACCGTGGTGGATATCAACTCCACACAAACCAAGAAGACGCTTCATATAGGGCAGAATGAATAATTTTATAGATTTTTAAATTTAATGTTTAATGATAAGCCAAATGAAAGGAACACAAAATAAGGTGCTTCAGAAGGAACTTCATAAATTAAACCATTTTTCCATTTCCAGTTCTAATTTTTGTTCGCTTTTCTCTTTCTCATTCTCTCTTTCCCTCCCTCCTTAACACCCACCCTTTTGCTCTTCCGTTTATCCCTCCTTCCTTCTTCTTTCCTCGATTTTAAATATTAACACTTAAAATCACACAAGATCTATACAGATTTTTCCACCGGGGACACGAGCAAACATTTTCTTTCTGTCCTCAGAGTTGGTTTGGCCATGAGAAGGCATTCTTCCTAATTTTATTTGTGGTGGGACTTGAAATGGGTTTTCATCTCCCTTTCCACCCTTTCAAGAACTAAAATCAGTCCCAGATCAATACTTTGCAAGATAAATATTACAGACCTGGAAATTCAGATTCTCTAGACACAAATTTATTAATGGGAATAATTGTCTTCCCCCTGTCAAATCAATAACCCCATTATCTTTTTTATATGAAGATCATTCCAACCCAAAGAAAAATGGGAAAATCTTGTTTTTTTCCTCTGAAAGCTTTTAACGCCTTTTTAATCTCTTTTTGATATATTATTGATTAGTCTAAATGCTAAAGCCTGACAAAAGAATCTGCGATGGATACTTACATGTGTAAAACAACATAAAAATACATAATATTGTATAGTCTGGTGTATAATTCAATTTTTGCACATATAATCTCATGTTATACTAATACCAGGTATTTTTAAGATTAGAAACGTCTTGAAATATTTGTAACAATTTATATAAATTCTTCAGGAAAACTGAGAAATAATTCTGATTTGATTAAGAAGCGTGAATCTAAAATCATGTACACACATATATAATCTTTATAACCAAAGAAATGCCTAGCGATAATTAAATCCCGAGTCAATTTTTCAACGTGGGCATTATTCAAAGAATCCTAGAAATTGCAAAGGATATTTCCTAGGGTGCCTTCTCTTAAGTCACTGAACGGGCAACAGCGCCCTCTGTCGGGATTTTGCATAAGTAGTTCCTGCACGGCCTCACAATTTCCTTTACAGCGATTTCTTTCGGTTCTTGAAAACCTGTTAACTGCTAAGAGCATTTTAAAAGTTCAAGTCTTATCATTATCTACTCATTTTCGAAACTGGCTCAGCATCTCAAAAATTCAAAAGCCTCAAAAAAGATGCAAATAAAAGCTCAATCTCTACTGAGAACATTTTCTTAATTTGAGCTGTTTTCGCTTGCTCTTTTTGTTGCTGTATTTCGCGTTAACGTCCAATCACGTGACGTGGGGAAAGCTTCCCGCAATGAATCTGTAAATGCAAACGTAAAGGCAAAACAAACTGGTTTCGGAGGAAGTTAAGCAAGCAAAATACGCATTTCAACATTGTTTTATTTTTCATTTCGTCTTGCCTTGTGCCCAAATTTCTCTCTCAGAGACGACACACGCTTCCCTAGATAGAAGCGCCGCTGGAGAAATCCCCAGATACTTATATTTCCTTCTTTCCCTTTATTTATTTTCGGTATATAAAGGCAGAGTGGGGAGCTAATAATACTCTCCTTTTCTCAACCTCGGATAGAAGGTCTATCTAAAAAGTAAGAGCCACTAATCCAAATCCAGTGCACCTAGAGTGGAGCCCTCTGCTGGCGGTTTTTGGAGTATTTATAATAACTTCTTAATGTTGCTGAGAAATATTATGTCAAGGTCAACTGTTAGCACTCTCAGATCTCACTTTTTCTTTCTTTTTTTTTAAAAAAAGATTTATTTATTTATGCATATAATAACTGAGGTACAGGCCAGAAGTGTGGGGGTGAAAGGACTGCTGAGGGGAGCAACAGGCAAGACAGGAGAGGTCTGCTGTGCCATGTGGGTAGCTCCCTGACCGGGAATCGAACTCATGTTGAAGAGGCTGTGGCTAGCTTCACAGGTTGCATCTTAACCCCTTGTGCCACCAGGGAGGCCCACATTTCTTCTTTCTTGTAAAAATCTAATTATGAATTACCTAAATTTCTCAGGCTTCCTTCATTCCCCTATTACTAACCTGGCACTTATGATTTAAGGCTTCATAAACTATCTGCCCTTATGACTGCCTGATGGACTGACTACCTTGTCTTTTCAACCTGTAGTCAGGGAAATTGGGTTTCCCTTTTCCAAAACACAAAACTAATAAAGTGGGAAAAGCCAAGACTTACAACAAGGATTATTGTGTCAAGTCAGGACCCTGACCCTTCTCGTTCTGGGTGGCTGGCCAAGTTACTAAAGAGCCTGATCTTCGGTGTCCCGAGCTATGAAATGGAAGGGTTGTGATAAATCGTTAAAATAACACATGCAAGGGGGGCTCCCAGGTGGTGCAGCGGTTGAGCGCTGGGTTGCGAAGCTGCGCGCGCGTCCTCTGCGGCACCGGCTCGATCCCCGGCTGCTCCCCGGCCACTGGAGGAGGGTCCCACATGGCGCGCAGACCTCTCCTGCCGCCCGCTGCTCCCCTCAGCAGTGTGCTTCGGTCCTTCTGCCTGCTCTGCTCCCTGCTCTGGCTCTGGTGAATTCTCTCACCCTCCTGCACCTCTGACTGTACCCAGTGCTTGTATAAACAAATAAACAAATAAATAAAACATGCCTCTATAAAAAAAATAACACATGCAAGGGAGGATTTTCGATATTGTCACTTTGTAAAGCAATCTCATTTCTCATTGTCGACTCAAGACGCAGAACTGAGTGTTGGGAAAGTGAAGGCTTCCTTCAGCTAGCGACTTACACAAGCTCCTGCTTAGAAAGAAAGTGGAAGTGGGGATCCCAACTTAGGTCTCCTCACTGTCTTCTGAGGCTTTCCTCCGCAGCGCTAGAGTGCTGTCTTCATTCTCTCCTCCCTGCCTCCCTCCTTTTCTTCCTTCCGGTATTCAGGGCTCAGTATTTTTGGATTATTAAATTTTTCTACAATTATTTTTGTCCAGATTTATAAACAGGCAAAGGAAGAGAGAGTAGGGAGCACTGACTTACTGTGACATGCTCAGAATGTTCTCCCTTGTTGCTCATCAGAAGTATTATTACTCACTGATTGATTAATAAAACCTGACATCTGCACTTTTTATTGCGACACTCTGACTCAATTTTGCTGCCCTGTTTCTATCTTGAAGTTTTCTCAGGATCATGTTTTCTGGAATCTTGAATATGTATTTTCAGTGGCAATTTGGAAAAATTGTATGAAAATGTATGAATCTACATCTCAAGCACCTGCCCTCGGATTTTTAGGGCTTTGATACTAATAGGTTTCAGCGATTGTGTATAAGGAAACAAAATAGGAGGGACTTGTGTTGGCATAACTGCTTAAAAAAATTAAATGAGGATGAGATAATCTTTAGATTGACTCGTCATGATTATATAGACTGAAGCAAACATTGAAAAGGAAGTAATATTTCTTACTTT